GTCAATGCCTGATATCAATATGTTACTAAGGAAAATATAAAAGTAAAATAGATATATCAAATCTGAATAATGTACGTGACCATGTTTTGCATATCGTTTAATAGATTTTGTTAACAATTCTAACAATTTATATATAGCAGTAGAGTGGTGTAACGTGGTCTGTGTAAAAGAAGGTGTAAAAAGAAATAATAAATCTACTTTTACTATCTTTCAGATGAACCAGTTTGCAAATGGTGCATCTCACCTACTTCATGTTGGACGATTTTGAATACGAAATAAAATGGACGAATTATAGTACTTTTCTCCTGTTGTCTGTGTTCTCAACCGCATAATCTGGATTATCGCCTTGTGAAAACACTGGATTATTTCTTTGTCTTTTATAATCCCCTGTAAATTGGTATAAGGTCAAATGGACAGGACGTCGACCTCTTTTCTTAACTGAACCGTGACATTTCACCCAAGGGTCGACGTCCTGTGCAGACACCGTTGGTTATCACTACACAGGGCAGTTTAACCGTTTGTCATTAATGCTTCTCATTACCACAGGTGTAGGTTATCACTACACAGGGCAGTTTAACCGTTTGTCATTAATGCTTCTCATTACCACAGGTGTGGGTTATCACTACACAGGGCAGTTTAACCGTTTGTCATTAATGCTTCTCATTACCACAGGTGTAGGTTATCGAGGCATAGTTGGACAGTAGACAAGACTCGATTTCAGGCTGTAATGACGCTACGAAATGACACGTGAGAACTTGGAGTTTTTCATGCATAGGGTTACCATTGTTGCGACCTATGTAGAAGTGTAGTGAGAGGTAAAAGTAGACGGCAGGTGATCGACATGTCACTTCTTTACCGAGAACGTCTAACAAACTACGAAGGGAGGTAACCCCGACAAGAGCACATAAAGCGCATACCGCTACAACCAAACATCAGCAACTGTCAGATGGCACGTGCATAACGTGCTCATGTGTTTTTGTATGTTATCTCTTTATAACATAACCTCGTTTTAAACTGTATTTACCGGATTTCCTCAATGTTGTATTTTGGGGTCAACTTTTAATGTTGAAGTTGGTGGTGCTTGAGCGGGTGTATACGTTAGTAAGAAGTTTCACACTTGTACCCGTGCATAACAAGAATCTAACAAATATTTATAACAAATATTGAACACCCAAACGCCCATATTATGAGGATATAATATTCATTTTAAAATCAACTGGTGCAATTCTGTAATGCGATCTTTAATTCCTTGTGTTTCCACATGTTTCCGTGTTAAAAAGGATACTTGACATACATGTTTCCGACAACCCCATAAAAGCTGACATCTTTTACCACAACGGATTCTCTGGGAATCCAATTTTCAGGATCATCGCGCACAGAACATTGCTTCATATTCATATGTATTCAGGATAGTTCTAACCGACTTTCGATATCCGAAGCCGAGAAGGAATGAAACAATATACCTACTTGACCTGCACATGAAACAACATACCTGCACCACCTGCTCATGAAACATCATACCTACTTGACCTGCAGATGAAACAACATACCTGCACCACCTGCTGATGAAACATCATACCTACTTGACCTGCAGATGAAACAACATACCTGCACCACCTGCTCATAAAACAACATACCTACTTGACCTGCAGATGAAACAACATACCTGCACAACCTGCTCATAAAACAACATACCTACTTGACCTGCAGATGAAACAACATACCTGCACCACCTGCTCATGAAACATCATACCTACTTGACCTGCAGATGAAACAACATACCTGCACCACCTGCTCATGAAACATCATACCTACTTGACCTGCAGATGAAACAACATACCTTCACCACCTGCTCATGAAACATCATACCTACTTGACCTGCAGATGAAACAACATACCTGCACCACCTGCTCATAAAAAAACATACCTACTTGACCTGCAGATGAAACAACATACCTGCACCACCTGCTGATGAAACATCATACCTACTTGACCTGCAGATGAAACAACATACCTGCACCACCTGCTCATAAAACAACATACCTACTTGACCTGCAGATGAAACAACATACCTGCACCACCTGCTCATGAAACATATCCCACTGTTGGAGTCGGTATAGAGTGTCTGAGTGGGATATCCTTGTTAAACTGCAGGACCCATCAAGTACATATCCAACTGTTGACGTCGGTATAGAGCGTCTGAGTGGGATATCCTTGTTAAACTGCAGTACCCATCAAGTACATATCCCACTGTTGGAGTCGGCATAGAGTGTCTGAGTGGGATATCCTTGTTAAACTGCAGTACCCATCAAGTACATATCCCACTGTTGGAGTCGGCATAGAGTGTCTGAGTGGGGTATCCATGTTAAACTGCAGTACCCATCAAGTACATATCCCACTGTCGACGTCGGTATAGACCGTCTGAGTGGGATATCTATGTTAAACTGCAGGACCCATCAAGTACATACCCCACAGGACCCATCAAGTACATACCCCACAGTTGGAGTCGGTATAGAGTGTCTGAGTGGGATATCCTTGTTAAACTGCAGGACCCATCAAGTACATATCCAATTGTTGACGTCGGTATAGAGTGTCTGAGTGGGGTATCCATGTTAAACTGCAGTACCCATCAAGTACATATCCCACTGTTGACGTCGGTATAGACCGTCTGAGTGGGATATCCTTGTTAAACTGCAGGACCCATCAAGTACATACCCCACAGGTGGAGTCGGTATAGAGCGTCTGAGTGGGATATCCTTGTTAAACTGCAGGACCCATCAAGTACATATCCCACTGTTGGAGTCGGTATAGAGTGTCTGAGTGGGGTATCCATGTTTAACTGCAGTACCCATCAAGTACATATCCAACTGTTGACGTCGGTATAGAGTGTCTGAGTGGGATATCCTTGTTAAACTGCAGGACCCATCAAGTACATACCCCACAGTTGGAGTCGGTATAGAGTGTCTGAGTGGGGTATCTATGTTAAACTGCAGGACCCATCAAGTACATATCCCCATGCATGTCTGAGTGGGGTATTCATGTTAATCTGCAGGACCATACAAGTACATATCCCCATGCATGTGTAAGTAGAGTATCCATGTTAAACTGAAGGGCCCATCAAGTACATATCCCCATGCATGTGTAAGTAGAGTATCCATGTTAAACTGCAGGGCCCATCAAATACATATCCCCATGCATGTGTAAGTAGAGTACCCATGTTAAACTGCAGGACCTATCAAGTACATATCCCCATGCATGTCTGAGTGGGGTATTCATGTTAATCTGCAGGACCCATCAAGTACATATCCCCATGCATGTGTAAGTAGAGTATCCATGTTAAACTGAAGGGCCCATCAAGTACATATCCCCATGCATGTGTAAGTAGAGTATCCATGTTAAACTGCAGGGCCCATCAAATACATATCCCCATGCATGTGTAAGTAGAGTACCCATGTTAAACTGCAGGACCTATCAAGTACATATCCTCATGCATGTCTGAGTGGGGTATCCATGTTAATCTGCAGGACCCATCAAGTACATATCCCCATGCATGTGTAAGTAGAGTATCCATGTTAAACTGAAGGGCCTATCAAGTACATATCCCAATGCATGCCTGAGTTTCATGCTAGCACACCTTCGTGTATTGAAAAGCTTTCAAAGTGCGATTAGAATAAACACACTCACTAAGCAAAACATTGCTCACACACCATGAGGCTAATTAATGATTAGTTAGAAAATAGGGGAAAACATAAAAACAGAGAAATGTTGATTAACTATCGATTTATTGTGAATTGTTTTGATACAAAACCTTGAAGTAACAATACCTGTGTATAGCAAAAAGTATAATGAAACGACCCGATATTTTTAAATTGATTCTGTTGTCAACCATACCAGTCATAAAGTACCAATCATATTTATCTTACCGCCATGTTAAATGTACAGAATATCCTTTTATTTTATGCTAAAGATCGCTACCGCTTATATGGTATGTAAACAAAATGGCGTCTGCCTCGCTACTGGATTTTGATATCCGTGAAACATATTCTGACAAGCTAAAAACAGCTATAAAAATGTTTAATTATGTTTAGGTTAAGTGTGCAAACGACTCAATGTATAAATAGGTTAGATAAAGCAGTGAAAGTCGGCAAAATATATTTGTTCCAAGTGAACTCATAAAACAGCTGATCGAACGGTTTTCGAACTCCGGGCACTGCATGCGTCATATTATGACGTCATACGATTGTTCGGGATACAGCTTTTCGGCGGAGAGCTTGGCGGTTACCATGGCAGCGGGTAATATTTTTTCTAGTTGTCACCCTCCTGGGAGGGGTGACACGGACACTTGTTTAAACGTCATTGACCAGTGAAATTAAAGTATTTCTCATGAAGGTAAAATAAAGATGTATATTTCTATGCAATTTATATATTGTTGAGTGTGACGTCAATAATATAATTTCAAATACATTACAAGATATGTATAAACATAATATACATACTTGAGGGAAATAAGTGTGATTTTAACAAATTTCAGCTATATAACGTAGCTTCGTGTATTGTTAATCATGGAGACTAAAACATTCACCCCTCTGTGGTTAGCGAACACTTGCACCACTGAGCTACTTCACAACTCTCATATTGGCAGCCACTCTGCGTTACGCGTAGTCCGTGAAGAGCCGGGCAAGAATTTATGTTCATTAACCCATACTTGTGGTCAGACTCGCTGCATTGGTTGGGATAATCGTATCCCAATTGCGTAGATCGATACTCATGGTGTTGATCACTGGATTGTCTGGACCAGATTCGATTATTTCCAGACCGCCGCCATATAGCTGGAATATTGCTGAGTAAAGCATTAAACAATAGCTAAACAGACAACATTCCGTTCCAAGGAGCAATGTCTATCATAATTTGGTTTCATATATATTTGGCACATAAGTCTGTTAAAAGTGCAAAAAAGTAACTATTAGTAAGTAACTATTCCTGCCAGTTTGTATTTTCTATATCTAGCTACTGTAAAATAGAAAATGTACATTTCACTGAAGCTGAGTATCAATATTTATGTCCAAAATGTGAGGTCATGCGCAGGAATTCAGGTGTCTACGTGGTACACCAGTACATACATATCCTCATAATGATAAGACCTCCAGCAATATAACCATTTGAGGCAAACTATCACAATATATCCTTCATTCATTACGTATTAATGTAAACATCATTTACAAACAGTCAACATGATGGTAAATGGTTTCCTGCTGAATATGAATCTGCACCGCCTTCATTTCATTGAATAAACTGAACCCTCTCAAGTGCAACTTTTATGCAATCCGTGAACAGTGAACTTTAACATATATATACCTTAATACATAAATACTAGCAGGTTGTGTGGTTTTTTTTTATTCAATCCTACTTCAAGCGGAGCATTCAGTGTATCGCCTTTTGATATATAGCTGCGGGCTTACAGACATAGTGTATTCCCTCCACTGAAAAAACTCTCTCAAGTGCAAGTCCCCTAGATTTGTGAACAAAGAAGTCGAAGATAGCAAAAGCAGGCTGTATGGGTGTTTTTCTTATTCGATCCTAGCATGAGCGGAGAAATCAGTGTATCGTCTACTGCGATTTACAAATCCTCGAGTCAACAAGTTCACTGGCGGGATTCAGAAGTCGTACAAAGACAGTGAGATAATACAAGAAATAAGGGAGGCAAATAGAGTGAAATAGGACATGGTGGCTTTGTAGTTGGCGTTGGTGGTAGTTTCTACATCCAAAACTGGGCCAGTGACGTCTATCATCGGCGTTGACGTTGATGTTGGAGTTGGTGTTGATGTTGATACGTGCGCTGCTGTCGATCTTGATGTTGATTTCGTGCTAAACGTTGCTGTCAGGTTAGATGCTGATGTTGATGTTGGCGGTGATTTTAGTGTGGATGTCAATATTGATCTTGGTATTGTGGTCGACTATGACATTGCAGTTGATGTCGCTGGTGATGTCGGTTCAGATGCTGATGCCCATGTTGATGCTTGCGGTGGCTTTAGTGTGGATGTCAATATTGATGTAGGCGTTGTGGTCGGCTTTGACATTGTAGTTGATGTCGCCGATAATGTCGGTTCAGATGCTGATGCCCATGTTGATGCTGGTAGTGGCTTTGGTGTGGATTTCAATATTGATGTAGGCGTTGTGGTCGGCTTTGACATGTTAGTTGATGTCGCCGGTGATGTCGGTGTCGATGATGATACTGATGTTGATTGTGGCTGTGATTTGGATGTCAATACTGATGTTGGCGTTGTGGTCGCTGACATTGTAGTTGATGTAGATGTTGATGTCGGTGTCAATGTTGAGACGTCTGTAGGGCTCCCTGCGTGTGGAAAACAAATATTTCATATGATGAAGTACATGGTTTAGTTCACCAACAAATGTCAGTCTGTTGATGTTGGCTGTGGTTGGGTAGCACCCTTGTTCGATTCCTATATTATTACCAATTCAACAATATCATAATGCAGCGTAACCAGGGCCTAGATTTTCGAGGCTCTCTTAGCGCTAAGATAGTCATAAGTTAATGTTAATCTATGGCACTTACGACTATCTTAGCGCTAAGAGGGCTTCGAAACTTTTGACCCAGGTCACTTGATTTTGAATCAGAATTTACGTTCCCCAAATTACATTATTCTGCATTAACTTTGCATAAACATCACTCGAAAATGAATCTGTCCTTTCCAAAGAAAGTCCACAATTATACTAGTGCCAGCAACACCAATTTTGTTTTGTTACCAAGATGTTTGAAACCACATACCTGAGATCCAACTGCTGATGCATCTGCCGTTCTGAACATCGTATCCGTTCTGTCGACACATAAAATGCACATGTTCATTTGATAGATCACTGACAGTGATTGGGTTTAGTTTCACGCCGCTTTTAGCAATATCACGACGTGGGACAGATCGCTAACAAAATCATAGCATTCAATATCGAAACAAACTGAACGGTTTGCGTGTATTCAGTATTATCTCAACATGCATATCACTATCACCAAGTTTGGGTTTTAGCTGTTTTTCAGAATATATTGAATATTGCAGACCTACGAGACTTGTGTCGGGCTTAATCTAGTGGTAATCTTCAGGTTTGTACGCGATAACTGCGGCTTTCATAATTTTGCTAGCTTCGTACTTCAACAACAAAAAGGTTTTGTTCACGTGACATTTGGATGCCAAAGAAACTTAAGTGTGTGTGCGAGCGTGCGTTTTTGTGTGTGTGCGAGCGTCCGTGTTTGTGCGTGCACGTGTCTGCGAGAGTGCCTTTTGTGTTTGTGCGTGTGTGCGATCGTGCGTGTTGGTGTGTGTGCGAAAGTGCGTGTTTGTGCGTGCGCGTGTGTATGCGAGCGTACGTTTGTGCGTGTGTGTGAGCGTGTTTGTGTTTGTGCGTGCGGTTTTGTGTTCTTGCGAGTGTGTCTGTGTGTGTCTGCGAGCGTCCGTGTTAGAGTTTGTGCGTGTGTGCCAGCACTTTTGTGTTTGTGCGTGTGTGTGCTAGCGTACGTATTTGTGCGTGTGTGCGAGCTTTTTTGTGTTCGTGAGGGTGCGTGTTTGTGTGTGTGTGTGCGAGCATGCATTTGTGTTAGGGCGTGTGTGTGCGATCTTGCATGTTTGTGTTTGTGCGTGTGTGTGTGTAAACAAATTCGTTTGTGGCCTCCGGTAAGAAACGAAATTTTGCATTTGTGCCTGTTTGCGAGCGTGGGTGTTTGTGTTTGTGCGTATGTACGAGCGTTTTTGTGTTGTGTGTATGCGTGTGCGAGCGTGCGTGTTTGTGTTTGTGCGTGTAAGCGAGCGTTTTTTGTGTTTGTGCGCGTGTTTGCGAGCGTATTTGTGCGTGTGTGTGTTTGTGCATGTGTGAGCGAGTGTGTGTTTGTGCGTGTGTGTGTAGACAAATTCGTTTGTGGCCTCCGGTAAGAAACGAAATTTTGCATTTGTACCAGTGTGCGAGCGTGCGTGTTTATGTTTGTGCGTGTGTGCGAGCCTATTTTGCGTTTGTGCGCTTGTGTGCGAGCGTGCGTGTGTATTTGTGCATGTGTGTGTTTGCGCATGTGTATGTCTGTGTATGTGCAAGGGTGCGTGTTTATGTGTGTGCGAGCGTGCGTGTTTGTGTGCGTGTGTGTCTGTGTGTGTGTGCGGGTGTATATGCGAGCGTGCGTTTGTGTGTGCGAGAGTGCGTTTTTGTGTTTGTACGTGTGTGTGTGTGTGTGTGCGAGTGAGTGTGCGTGCGTGCGTGCGTGCGTGTGTGTGTGTGTGTGTGTGCGCGCGTGCGAGTGTGCGTGTTTGTTATCTTGCTGCACCCTATCAGTATATATTCTCCTTCTACACCCAATATGTATATATCCTGCCTCACAAAGCTGGATATGTTCTCTTGCTACGCCCTGTCTAAACATATTCTGAGAAGAGTATAAGTTCCAAATGAATGCATTGACAATGCCTTACCGTTACAGTCCAGGTTTTGGACTCGTTATCAACGTCCACACACGTGCTGTCATACACCAGAACCATGACATTCTCGCTGTAGATGTTGTCAGTGTTAGCTACGGAGATGTTGTAGGCAGTGACGATACCCCTGGGTGCGTCTATCCTCACAGGACACTCAACTTCACTCAAGCTCCGCTCAATGGCATTTGTAACCTGGGTATTCGGCTGGTGAAGGTCTCCATCATTGCTCACCTACAAGAACGTTTAAAACATGTACATGACTTCCACGCGAACCGTCTCCCTTTGCTTGGACATACAGCATCGTTTTGTGTCATGACGGCAATGGCGTTGAAATACAGATTTGGTAACTATAAAACATGTACTAGACTTTCATGTGGATCGGACCCGTGAAGATCCGGGTTAGAATTGATCTTCAGTAACCCATGCTTGTCGTAACAGGCGACTAACGGGATCGGGAGGTCAGGCTCGCTGACTTGGTTGACACATGTCATCGTGTCCCAGTTGCGTTGCTCGATGCTCATGCTGCTGATCACTGGATTGTCTGGGCCAGGCTGGATTATTTAAAGACCACCGCCATGTGACTGGAATATTGCTGAGTGCGGCGCTAAACAACATCCAATCCAATCAGTACAATACATATATTCGGGGTTTTCTAATCGGGACCTGTACCACTTCATGAGGAGCGAACTGATACACAACTGAATATTATTTCAGCTTCCTTACTTCAGCTTACGTGGTTAATAATCTGATCTCAGATGTTACAGTCGCATCTGTCACAAGACTGGTGACCAAGATCTCAGATAGTGCTCCACTTGTGATAGTGTCTAAGGATATTCCTATCATTCAGTGATAATACACTCCAATATGCATATGTACATGCACATTATACATAAGAAATCAAGTTGTGACCCTACCGTGAACATAGTGGATCGACATTTGATTGTCACATCTTCTAGGAAGGTGAGTCCAAATACTGTCAGTCGCTGGCAGCTGCTGGTAGCCAGGTCACAGTGACCGTTGTCTTCGACCTCGTCCAGCTGAGGGGGCTGGGTCAAGTCCACGGAACAGTCAGCACCGCCAAATCCAGCACTGCAGTCGCACAGTCCTGAAAACGTAAGATCAAATATATCCAGCTTCTTTTGATCAGTTCCAGTTTGTATACCCATTTGGTAAGATCAACATGTAGGTTATGGGAAATAAGTATTTACCAAATTTAATATGATCACGTTCAGGTATCACTCATGACCCGATGTGTTGCTTGGCCAACATCCACTTTAAATTCAGAATTCTGTCAGACGGTTCTAGGTTAATAGTCCTAAGTGCAACACTGCTAATACTGATATTGATGCTATGCTTACCCCAATCTACGCAATATTGGCAGTTATTAACCTCTGTATGTCAGTCAAGGTTTCAACTACACTATAATAGTTCTTCACATATGGTGGAGCTACCCTCTCCTGCTACAGTCGTTAGGACAATCCAATCTACGCAATATTGGCAGTTATTAACCTCTGTATGTCAGTCAAGGTTTCAACTACACTATAATAGGTCTTCACATATGGTGGAGCTAACCTCTCTGACAGGTGCCTCTCCCTCTACAGTCGTTAGGACAGACGTTGTTGGTGATGGTGTCAAACACTGAAGGGGCTCCTGGGTTTTGGGGGTCAGCAACCCACAGGTCGGGGTTGAGGAGCACCTCCGTCTCACAGGATGAACGAACTGTGTCGATAGACATCATTTGGAATTCGGTTGTTCCAGAGAGCTGCAAGTGTGATAGATATGTATGTAGTTTAATTGTGTTGTCAAATGCCATATGTTGTTCAAAGGCATTATTTTTTAAAACAAAAAAAAAAGATTTTGTTCTTGAAGGCGAGCACTTCAACGCTTGATATATCATCGTCGTCGTAATCATTGTCATCATCATCATCATCATCACCCATCACTATCAATATTCACAATGGTTGTCATCCTTTACCATCATCAATCCACTCTTCCATCCATCCATCCATCTATCCATGTTTGTTCTGTCTTTCTCCCTTCGAGAAAGCATTAAAACCTACCAATATATCGCTAATGCAGTCATCACGGCTGTTGTCAACGTTGACTCCTGGGACGTTGCGGCACAGCTGGACGGTCGAGGATGCCGCGAATAGGTTGTTGCAGAATTCAGCGGCAGTCTGGTTGGTCCAAACTTCCGATGGTGTTTGCTAAAGTATACAGGCGGATTAGAAATTGAATCATGTTTGTAAATTTATGTACATTCGTTTACTTTGGTGTACTAAGAATGAATGAATGAATGAATGAATGAATGAATGAATGAATGAATGAATGAATGAATGAACACTATGGCGTGCTCAATGGAGAACGTAAACAAGAAACAAAAATAGCTATAATATACCCTTTTGTATCGGTGCTCTGTATCGATGTTTCTGTTCTGTACCGCTCGCTTCTTCCTGTTCAGACGTACGACACAGGGCACGTCCTTGTAATACTCTGGTCTGACCTCAGTGTTCATCGTGGAAAGAGAGGAACATGTGATGTTCTCTCTTCCTTCACAGAAGCAGTACTTTGGGGGCTGCTGCGATATCTTTGTAAGTGTTTGTACATAGTCCGAGTCAAAAAGGTTGCCCGTCGTTTCTCTGAAAAAGTGTAGCATATATCAAAAGTGTATATTCAACATACCATAACTACGTTTGTTTATATGCTTATGTTGATACGGTTTTCATACCTTTCATACCAGATTAAAATAGGTTAAATATTACGCTCATAAATGGAATCTCACCTCCAGGAATTGACGAATGTATTAAAGTTGCTGGTCTGCATCTCATTTCTCATGATGAAGTCGTCATTAGTTGTGTCAGAAAGCTGACCGCACAACCCACGACTCGCCCCTACGTCTAGGATCGTGCCTGGAATCTCGACATTCAAGTACATGTTCCCGATTCCAATTCCATAGAGAGAGACGGCAACGCGTGCCCCCGTGGGTAGGTATATCTAATTGAAATAAAAATGCCAAGACAATATGTCAGTGTATTTAATAGCGCAGAGCGTTCAAATGTCAATGGCACACAGAATACACGTTATGTCGTGAGTTGATAGAGCGTGTGCGTGCGTGCGTGCGCGTGCGTGCGTGCGCGCTTGTCTTTGTGCGTGTATGTGTCACGCTGTTCGCGTGTACCCATTTTCGACCTCTGTTGATGCGCATGGTTTCTGCACAGTCTTGCTACCGGTCAATCTTGTGTTTTTGCCTCTACTTTGCCATTGGTTTGCACAGTACAAAGTTTACAAGTTTTTCTCAGTACACCAAAATGATATATTCTTGTAGACTACTTCACCCTATACATACATCATGCTTTACTGTTCATATTAACATAAAGGTGCTGTTAGTCGTGCTTTTCATTATTATTATAACAGTTTTCCACCAGTTTCATGGTACAGATAATTGTCACCGTGACAGTCTGTGTGCATATATCTGTGTGTGCGTGTGTGTCTGCGCGTGTCTGTGTGTGCGTGTGTGTTAGGTCCATGCAGGTTGCAAAAGTACTGTAAGTCCACACGGTCACTAGTATGGTGGTCAACTTCAGTTGCTGAAATTTCAGAGACAGATGCTAGTTTTTAGATTCTGTTTCTGTGTTATTCTAGTAGTTTTGACTGTCCTTCGTTGACAGATTTTTATAATTGAAATGTATTTATTATACATTTAAAAGTCGTTACAGTCACAATATGGCTGAAATGTGACGTTACATTTTAACTCTCTCACTCATTCACATAAGCAAAAGTATTTATACGTGCCTCATAATATGTGGAGCGCTTTCTTATTTCCATGGCGTTGTCGGAGTTGTCACAGCCCTGATGATTTATTCTCCATGATTTGGTATCGCAGCCATTAATAGAGAACACCGTCTTTCCTGACTGAACAGCTACCCCACAATTACAGTATCCAGCTGCAGTACGCACACCATGACACTTTTTTACTTCGACCTGTATCTGCAAATGCACCATACAATGTTAATGATACAAGCAGGATCTACAGTATGAGTAACACACGGGTCCTCCTGGAGTTTAGATTAACATTCGAGATCAAAAACGTTTAGTATAAATGAATATAGTTTTAGTCCGGAATTAACGCTTCTTTCATTTTCCGACAATGGCGATACCATACTTGAGATTAACAGTCATGGATACCCCACTCAGACATGTATGGGGATATGTACTTAATGGGTCCTACAGATTACCATGGATACCCCACTCAGACATACATGGGGACGTGTTCTTGATACCCCACTCAGACATGTATGGGGATGTGTACTTGATTGCTCTTGCTGATTAACATGGATACCCCACTCAGACATGCATGGGGATATGCACTTGATGGGTCCTACAGATTAACATGGATGCCCCTTTCAGACATACATGGGGACGTGTTCTTGACACCCCACTCAGACATGTATTGGGATGTGTACTTGATATCCCACTCAGACATACATGGGGACATGTTCTTGATATCCCACTCAGACATATATTGGGATGTGTACTTGATGGGTCATGCTGATTAACATGGATACCCCTTTCAGACATACCTGGGGACGTGTTCTTGACACCCCACTCAGACATACATGGGGACGTGTTCTTGATATCTAACTCAGACATACATGGGGACATGTTCTTGATATCCCACTCAGACATGTATTGGGATGTGTACTTGATGGGTCATGCTGATTAACATGGATACCCCACTCAGACATACATGGGGACATGTTCTTGATATCCCACTCAGACATACATGGGGACGTGTTCTTGATATCCCACGCAGACATACATGGGGACATGTTCTTGATATCCCACTCAGACATACATGGGGACATGTTCTTGATATCCCACGCAGACATACATGGGGACGTGTTCTTGATATCCCACGCAGACATACATGGGGACGTGTTCTTGACACCCCACTCAGACATACATGGGGACGTGTTCTTGACACCCCACTCAGACATGTATTGGGATGTGTACTTGATGGGTCATGCTGATTAACATGGATACCTCACTCAGACATACATGGGGACATGTTATTGATATCCCACTCAGACATACATTGGGACATGTTCTTGACACCCCACTCAGACATGTATTGGGATGTGTACTTGATGGGTCATGCTGATTAACATGGATACCCCACTCAGACATACATGGGGACATGTTCTTGATATCCCACTCAGACATACATGGGGACGTGTTCTTGACACCCCACTCAGACATACATGGGGACATGTTCTTGACACCCCACTCAGACATGTATTGGGATGTGTACTTGATGGGTCATGCTGATTAACATGGATACCCCACTCAGACATACATGGGGACATGTTCTTGATATCCCACTCAGACATACATGGGGACATGTTCTTGATATCCCACTCAGACATACATGGGGACGTGTTCTTGACACCCCACTCAGACATGCATTGGGATATGTACTTGATGGGTCCTGTAGAGTAACAGTCATGGATACCCCACTCAGACATGCATGGGGATGTGTACTTGAAGGGTCCTGCAGATTAACATGGATACCCCACTCAGACATGCATGGGGATATGCACTTGATCGGTCCTGCAGATTAACATGGATACCCCACTCAGACATGTATGGGGATATGCACTTGAAGGGTCCTGCAGATTTACATGGATACCCCACTCAGACATGCATGGGAATATGCACTTGATACCCCACTCAGACATGCATGGGGATATGTACTTGAAGGGTCCTGCAGATTAACATGGATACCCCACTCAGACATGCATGGGGATATGTACTTGAAGGGTCCTGCAGATTAACATGGATACCCCACTCAGACATGCATGGGGATATGCACTTGATGGGTCCTGCAGATTAACATGGATACCCCACTCAGACATGCATGGGGATATGTACTTGATGGGTTCTCCAGATTAACATGGATGCCCCACTCAGACATACATGGGGATGTGCACTTGATTGGTCCTACAGGTTTACATGGATACCCCACTCAGACATGCATGGGGATATGTACTTGATAGGTCCTGCAGATTAACATGGATGCCCCACTCAGACATGCATGGGGATATGTACTTGATACCCCAATCAGACATGCATGGGGACATGTACTTGATACCCCACTCACACATGCATGGGGATATGAGCTTGATACCCCACTCAGACATGCATGGGGATATGAGCTTGATACCCCACTCAGACATGCACGGGGATATGAACTTGATACCCCACTCAGACATGCACGGGGATATGAACTTGATACCCCACTCAGACATGCACGGGGATATGAGCTTGATACCTCACTCAGACATGCATGGGGATATGAACTTGACACCCCACTCAGACATGCATGGGGATATGAGCTTGATACCCCACTCAGACATGCATGGGGATGTGCACTTGATTGGTCCTACAGGTTAACATGGATACCCTACTCAGACATGCATGGGGATATGTACCTGGTGGGTCCTGCTGATTAACATGGATGCCCCACTCAGACATGCATGGGGATATGTACTTGATACCCCAATCAGACATGCATGGGGACATGTACTTGATACCCCACTCACACATGCATGGGGATATGAGCTTGATACCCCACTCAGACATGCATGGGGATATGAGCTTGATACCCCACTCAGACATGCACGGGGATATGAACTTGATACCCCACTCAGACATGCACGGGGATATGAGCTTGATACCTCACTCAGACATGCATGGGGATATGAACTTGACACCCCACTCAGACATGCATGGGGATATGAGCTTGATACCCCACTCAGACATGCATGGGGATATGAACTTGATACCCCACTCAGACATGCATGGGGATATGAACTTGATACCCCACTCAGACATGCATGGGGATATGAGCTTGATACCCCACTCAGACATGCATGGGGATATGAACTTGATACCCCACTCAGACATGCATGGGGATATGAACTTGATACCCCACTCAGACATGCATGGGGATATGAACTTGATACCCCACTCAGACATGCATGGGGATATGTAATTGATGGGTCCTGCTGATTAACATGGATGCCCCACTCAGACGTGCATTGGGATATGTACTTGATACCCCACTCAGACATGCATGGGGATATGAACTTGATACCCCACTCAGACGTGCATGGGGATATGTACTTGATACCCCACTCAGACATGCATGGGGATATGTACTTGATACCCCACTCAGACATGCATGGGGATATGAACTTGATACCCCACTCAGACATGCATGGGGATATGAACTTGATACCCCACTCAGACATGCATGGGGATTTGTTCTTGATGGGTTCTGGAGATTAACATGGATACCCCAATGTGAACAAGTTATATATTTACCTCTATGAGCTGACGAGCCAGTTTATATAATGTAAATCGTCCCTTCTGTTGTAGTGAAAGCCTGGTGCTGCAAGAGGTCAATAGTATTTATTCCATTTTTTTTGGCGACCCATTTGCCAAGTTGTAAAAATACAACTGCTTCGGGTATTTACAAGTGAATTCAAATCGTTTGCAAACGGATATATTATATGTACAAATAGCTGTTGGCATTTCATATTTCTCTGCATGAGAACTCAAGTTTAAGATTGCAAGTCTTGATCAATATATTACACTTACCGCGAATCAAACTGCTCTAGGTATGGGTCGTTATGGCACTTGCAGTCTTTGCTGCTAACCAGAGTCGTGTCTTTCACAACTTTAACCTGAAAATTACCTTGTAGCTACAGATATGAAACTGATCAAGATAACAGTGAGTTATGAGCAATGGAGCAATGGACTACACATATTGTACCCATGTGGGAACCGAACCAAAGACTTCCACCAGGCGGGCAAACACTTTAACGCTGTGCTACCAAACCACCTCCATGTATATAACAGATAAAACTTAAGTTTTTCCATCAGTAATCTGACGGTTACAATATTTTGTTGTTGGTATCAATCGTATCAAGGAGATTCTGAAAGCTATCGTACCTTTACTGTCCCAATGGTATGGTTGTTCCAAAAGGGGAACCCGAGACTGTCATTTGGAGTCCTGAGAACTAGTAGCGAATTAAGTTGGCTTCTTCCATATGTTGGTGTTATGGTTCCATGTACAGTCATAGACACAGGCTGACTCCACTGTGTGTAAGGAATGGAAACCTCACAGTATTCCTGGGAAACCCGATTTGCTGAGTCAACAGATTGTATCTCGATTGGCATGGAACAACTTTCAAAATATAACTCAGTGATGTTTCCGCAACGGAACGGCACTGTGGCTCGGACTTGAACCTGTCCCGTCTCGCCTTGTCTGATCGTTATTTCTTCGGTTAGAATCTATGTAAAAAGGAAATACATATTCTATATATATTTCATGTAACACATTAACAAATCGGAAATATCTGGTGTCATCCCGTATTCCCCATGATGCATGTATATAAGTTAACCTTCTACAAACTTCAGCAACCCATGCTTGTCTTAAGAGGCGACGAACAGTATCTGGTGGTCAGACTCACTGACTTGGTTGACACGTTATCGTATCACAAAAGCACAGAACAATGTTCATGCTGTTGATCATGGGATTATCTGGTCCAGACTCGAATGTTCGTCATACAACTTGACTATTGCTGAGTTCGGCGTTAAGCAGTAAGCAAACACACACAAACAAATGTTATGCTGGGGGACAAGAGTGACGGCAGCATTTATCGAAACAATACATATAACTCGACAAATTCCTTGAAGTAATTATATTGCCTAAAACAATACCTGTGAATCATTTTTGTAGGATTGGACTTCCAGACAAGTTAGAACATGAATAGATGAAATGCCACTACCAAACATAGCATTAAGTGGATTCTGGCTAGGATATAATGTGGAATAAAACCAAGTCGTCTCACCTCAAAGCCAACGAAAAAAGGATCCGCACGATTTGCAGGACCGGGGGGCATACCAGCACCGTACATGGCCTGGATCTCACAGCTTATCTACAAGTGGAATATAGTTCCTGGTATCAGTCACGTGATCAATACCATATAGATGCAGAAGGACTTAGTTGTACCAAGTGTGTACCCTTGAGAGTGATGGACCGTGACATAAAGACGTATGGAAATAGCAAAGGGCATTTTCTATACTTTTCTGTATGTTTGTTTTTTGTGGACTAACAAATCCTTTTTTTAAACAATTACCAAAGTGTTTAGACATCATGAAAGGCTGTGTGACACTCACATTGAAACCGATTTTTTATGCTCTTCTGTCATTCTGTATGCGTTTTGTGGACTAACAAATCATTTCTCAGCACAGGGAAACTGTAGCGCAAATAGGGTTGTGCAACAGAGAGAAAAATAACGACGGCACATAAGACAAATAATCTTCAACAGTTCAATGGTAAAATTAGGCAATATGATATTTCTTTATAATGTCTGCATATACTTGTTCCGTCACTCCGTTGAACCGGAAGCGGGCATATAGGAAGACTGGTCATTTTTCTCTCTGTTGCGCAGCCATATTTGCGCCACACTTTGCTTGTGATCTAAGTTATACGTCATGTAAAACTGAGTGCGACTCACATTGAAACCGACTTCAGTTATCCCCGCTGCTATTAGCATCGCTTGAGTGATCTGGGTGCTGTCAATGTAGGTGTCGTCCATCAGCGTTGCTGGGTGCTGGTGTATGAGGACGTCGTCGACATACCACGTTGTCTGGTGGAACAGTCTTTGGGTGGACGAAGGGGGGAAGGAACATCGGAAATGGAGGTCACTTTTGGTGAAACCAGTGTCAGTTACACCAGGGACGACAGTAGGCTTGGGACTGTAGGTTGGTGGGTCTGGTATTGAATCATGGAACAAAGTCAAGCAATGGACACAAAGTATTATTGTGTTTAATACAGGACCAGTCCATGTTGTGTTCCCTATTTAAAAAACGCAAGGCAAGGAAACATGTTTACGCCACTTGGTGTGGAGAGACGTTTTGTTAACATCACCGTAGATGCAGATCGATGTTAATTAATCGTTAAGAATCAAAACACCAAATACTATCAAATATAAGATATAAAATATATACTTACTTGGAGAAATCTCACCTGTAAACAAAAATTTAAAAATCACTGAAGATTATATAATGGCGTCATTCCATGAACGTTTTCGATCAAATATACTGCAAGTGCCAGAACACAAACAGTTCGTTATATCCATCACTTCGTTATATGCGTGTTCGTTATAAACATACCTATATTATTAAATATATCCATGGTAGTACCTAAAGAGAAAGTGTGGGTAAATATTTCAATGAAGAGTGAGTGGGTGAGTGTGGCTTTACGCCGCTTTTAGCAATATTCCAGCAATACCACGGCGTGGAACACCAGAAATGGGCTTCACACATTGTATCCATGTGGGGAATCGAACTCGGGTCTTCGGTGTGACAAACGGACGCATTAACCATTACGCTAACCCACCGCCCCTTCATTTAAATGACTCAAGCTGGAACGAGAAACAAGACAAAAGAAGTTGAAATGCTCACGGAAACAGTAGGAGCTCTGATGAATAGGCGAGGTTCTGAGATTATACACAGTATAACCGTTACAGTCCTCAAACTGTATCGTAAACGGACTCGTGCATGCAGTAGATGGTTGCTGGATACACATGGTAGCTGTGTTGGTAGAAATACCTGCAGAAAAATGTTACTATGTCATAATAAATTATTGATGGTGTTATTTAAGTAATTATTTACGTTAATTTGATTAATTATCAAAGAGTTTTATTATAAGATAAAAACAGAAATGTGGGTGAAATGAATGAGGCAAAACATACAGTGTTATCTTGTTTGTTTATTTTTAACGCCGCATTCAATGCAGTTTGGATACGATGACATGTGTCAACCAAGTTAGCGAGACTAACCACCCGATCCCGTCTTTTTCAACAAGCATGTGTTACTGAAGGTCAATATTCTAACCCGGATCTTCACGGATAGCAACACATACAAAAGAGGGGTGACATGTATGTTATTTTGGCAAAAATTACTGAAATCAATGGCGTCACCAGATAATGTTGATCACTGGACTTTCTGGTCCAGACAGGATTATTTACAGATCGATATACATGTAGTTGAAATATTGCTGAGTTAAACAACAAACAAACAAACTCGCCTGAACAATATGCGTTATTAGAATGTGGATCGAAGTAAGAAAGTGTGAAAACTCCACCTTAAGGTCGCGGTGCAGGTCAACATCGCACATTAAGTGTGACATAATGTTGATAAGCGACGTGGCACAGTCCTATGTTCCTCGAAACGTGTTCAACAATATTTATGAATGACAATCAGAGCCTGGATGGTAATATAATAATTTAAAAGCCACGTTGTAAGCACATTTGGCTTTCCGTGAATACACCGCGGTTGTTCAAAAATACCCAAGCAATTAAGCAGTGAAGACGTGATAAGTTGAACTTAGGAGCCTATTAATTTAATTAGTTTGAATACCAAATAGGTTCATACAAATACAGAGTTATAAAGTACTTCGCACGGGAAAGGATAAAATACTCCTCTCTTTATACTATGGTTAATGCTCTTTTTATTTTGATCATTGAGGGTGAAGGAAAGTCCCTTTGTCGGATACAAAATGATCCACAGTTGAAGTTGAACTGGATCTTTTGAATTTAATCGGAGAGTGCCATGGTTTGAAAACCTATTACGTTTGACCTTCACATGAATGTTGAGTTCTTAAAGCAGCTCGCACAAGAAAAATGCTAATCGCTATATAACATTATCAATGCGGTTGAAAGGAAACTTACTTTGTCGCCATATCGGGTACAATGATCCACAGCGGAGGAAGCCAGGGGCACTGTCCTGGAGTTCATAGTTCGCATCACCGTACCACCCAGCGGCGAGCGTCCTGTCATTGATTGTAGAGCCAGGCTGGGTTGCGGTGTCAGGGTTGCGAATGCTGACGTTCGGGATTTCCATAAAGTCCACACAGGGCCGTTCTGACATAAAGGCGAGCAGATAAAGAGTGAGTGACTTTATTTTTACGCAATATTTCAACAATCACGGCTGGGGACACCGGAAATAGACTTTACACATTGTACCCATTTGGAGAATCGAACCCGGGTCGACAGCGTGACGATCGACCGCTTTAACCACTAGGCCGTTGACGTAAAGGCGAGGTCGTAATAAAGTGAACTAACTCGTCATATCAGGGAGTGAGTGAGTGAGTTAATTTTTAAAGTCAAATCGGCAATATTTGAGCCATATCGTGACTAAAACTGGTTCTAAATATATGATAAGTATAAAAAATGTCAACGAAGGACAGTAAAAGATATATCAGGTAAGCCATGGTCATATTAGATGTATTTGGTGGTTTAATGTTTCATGGGACACTCAGCAACATCCAATCTATAATAGAACAAACTGTAAACTAGACAAGAAAAAAAATCAATCAGCAATTACAGAGTGTCTGTATGAAAGTACATTACGTCTACCTACCATTTTGGCCATGTACTGCGTGCAGAAGGGCAGTCGCTGTGAGAACAAAGTTCCAAGACATCATTACTCGGTGACTCCTGTTAAAAGAAAACCCAAACAAAACGTCAACGTGAACAGCAACAAACAGATTAAAAATAATAAAAAACGAACAACATGCAAGTCAGCATAGGTGTATATCTGATACACGAGACTTAAAAACATACAATTTATTGTGTTGTCATCGCAGTCGAAAAGTATTCCAACCATAACTTGGCTTCCCATTTACTAATAGAGTATTGGCCAGACAGACTATTGTATTATCTGCAACGTCTACGACATCGGGCAAGCTGACATGCAATCATCCAAGACACCTTCTTAAACTACTCTTTCGACTTCACCCACAATCAAATATACCAGAGCCATTCTCCAACACTACAAACAATATGAATGTAAAATACTCCGGAAAAGTAGCGGAAAAGACGTAGACCTTAGATTATGTTTTTCCATACGAGTGTACAATCAGTTTGATGACCTATATCTGTGTTAATGAGAAGCAATAATAACAAACTATTCGCTGACTGAAGGTAGACTTTGCAAACCTGGGTAAACAGCGTAGTGATAAGCCACACCTGTGTTGACTTAGACGCAATAATGACGAACACTATCTGCTGCCTAAAGATAGACCTCGTAGTCTTGTGTCAGCTGTCCTCAGCTGTGATAACCCACACCTGCGTTGACTGAGATGCAATAATAACGAACTCTATCTGCTGCTGCTAGTAGCCCTCACAGTGTTGGTTGAACTGTCGTTCTGTCAAGACTGATGAAGCCTCTGCTTATATGAATCCCAAGGAGGAAGTTCGTTCAAGGTTAAAACATCAGATGATCTATACTTATAATAAGTACACAGCACGATCAGGATTTTTGCTATATATAAATTACTTATTTTTCTAATAGAAAAACGACCCGAACATGCGTTGGGTTGTTACAGGGTAAACACAATTTGATTGGTGGATCTACTTCCTTGTAGAAGAACAATCATGGCTCTCTTAACTGAGACCTGGATTTTTTGTGACATGCTTTGGCTGATTGAACAGTGGGGATGTTTTTAAGTTCGCCATAGGCAGGTATGCTATTTACTTAAGTTCGTATTCAGAGGTATGTGTTATTATATGCCACATTTCTACAGCTTCCTGTTTGAACTACTTCTACATCACTCTAAGGCGCTTCATAGTTGTTTTTCTCTCGATCATTGATGTTAATCTCAAACGACACATTATATATCTCAATTCCCTGGGGAACATACGTCTCTTGCAGCCACAATGTGCACCAGGTGACACATAGTCGCAGCTCTTTGTCCAAGTTTACGCACGTTGCTGTATCCGCAACTAGGTGTTTGCATGTATTCATGTGGCCAACATCTGGTCATATACCAACGGATTCGTGGGTTCGTGTAAGTACACAGGGTTGTGTACTGTACACAGGGGTTGTGACAACACTGAAAGAGTAAACATTGAAACATACAACTTTATGGATGACAACTTCTTATTCATTGCATAGAGCTCAATAAATAAGATCTTGTCACGACATCCATAAAGTTGTATGTTTCTTTATTGAGTCACCAACTTCAACAACGCCCATCAAACAATTACTGAAAGAGTCTGCACACACAAGCTGACTCCAAGGTTTTTACACCCGGCAAGATTGGGTGGGCAAGATTCCGGCACCTCAAGCTCGCTGGATCACAAGCCTGGCGCCTAAGACAGCTCGCCCACCACACCACGTGTTAATCTAAAATCTTAAACAATACAAGAAGAAGAAGGTATCATTTCATGGTTCAGTGATCTGTGTTTATATAGTACTCTGTCCTTCAGGCACATATTGAGAAACGCGTTTCTCTCATGATCTTCAGTACGATGAGCAAACGTTTTACTGTGACTTACCTCGGCGTTTCAATATATATAAAGTCTATGGCTGGGGTATATAGAAAGGTCTATGGTACCTTTCTATGAAGTACGTATCTTTTTTATAAGTATACGTACAAACAGCATTCATATGGCAGTGTATGATTAAAAGTAGTGTGTCATTAACATACATACAAGTTTCTCTACATGTACAAGAAAATACCGTTGTTGTGCAATGTTGTGCAAGAACCTAATTCATTTTCTTTGTTAAACAAACATTCAACCTATTCCTCCTTCTAATCTAAAACACATATGTTTAAAGCTTCCCGATAGCCTCGTTATTTCCGCAAAAACTTACATTGTTAGCTATCTGCATCATGTGTTTCTAACCTTAAGTGACTGTGTTAGGACAGATGTTCAGCAACCTATATTCGTCGTAACAGGCGACTAACGGGATCGGATGGTCAGGCTCGCTGACTTGGTTGACAACTGCGTAGATAATGATGATGATGATGACCACCACCACCACCACCATCATCATCATCATCATCATCATCATCATCATCATCACTGGATTGTCTGGTCCAGACTCGATTATTCACAGATCGCCGCAATATAGCTGAAATATTACTGAGCGCGGCTTTAAAGAACACACAAACAAGTCTTTCCTCTAGTTTGTACGTCTAAATTACTCAGGTCATCCGTCATGACATAAGTAAAAATTCCAACAACACTAGATTGTTGACATCCATAAAGCTCTCTTCCTCATGTGTATCACTTCTAAATGCCATTCAAAGACTAGTTTCATTATTTTCAGAGGTTCAGACACCAAGCTAACTTATTTCAGGATCACATCATAGCTGAAAATTCGATCTTCACTTATTTCAAAGCCAGTGTAAACCAGTAATGACTGACTGACTGACTGAGCAATATTCCAGCAATATCACGGCGGGGGACACCAGAAATGGGCTTTACTCATTGTACCCATGTGGGGATTCGAACCCGGGTCTTCGGCGTGACGAGCCAACGCTTCAACCACTAGACTACCCCACCGCCCCAAACCAGTAATGAGTCAAGGAAGAATCAATTACTTTTCTGCGTTATGCGATTTACAACTTTTTCCAAATCCATGAGTGAGTTGAAATTTTACGTCACATCGGCACTATTTCAGCCATATCCTGACGGCAGAAAGTCATATACTGAGAATAAATATATTTATTTCTTCCATGTGTCCTTTCTTTAAAAAAGATAGATACAGTGCATGTTGTAATTAATTCAATTAAATGATTGTTCTTCTCGCAATCGAACTGGTAGTAGATATTTAAGAGATGAATGTTTTATCAAATGTCAAATTAATCCACTCAACAGTTCTCTTCCTGACATATAGATAATTTCTCAACACAACTGAAAACATTTATACAAATTGACTGTTGATTGATAATTCTTAGTTAAATCATACAATGAAAAAAATGTGAAAAACATGCAGCAGAGAGGATTCGGGTGACCCTGGCACAGTCAGGCTGGTTAGGCTCATCATCAGCTCAGGGCCCTTGCCCCCACTACACGCAGTTCAGACAGCGAATGGGACTTCTCCCAGGAAACGCGGTCAAGTCGAACCCATTAAGAACTTTCCGGAGAATATGTAGAATCCCAAACACTGCAGCCTTCTGCATAACACTGAGTGTCAGAAGGGCTGGAGAACCCGGGCACTCTCCTGATCTGCGCCAAGAGATCAGAAGGTACCATTCCAAGGGCACCGAGAACAATGGGGAGCCTGACGACAGTGTACTTGGGATGCAAGCGAGACATTTCAAAGGCGAGGTCCGCATATTCAGCATGCTTTTCCTGAATCTTGCCAATCACGTTGACGTCGAAAGAAACAGAAAATTCAATGAGATAACTAAATTCACTGGCGTTATCAAAAAAGATCAGGTTTGTTGGCTGGAATTCTTCTGAAGCTGTATATGGGCCTATTCAAAAGAAGCATCATTTTATTATTATTATTACTATTATAGGATATTTATATAGCGCACATATCCACGCACTAGTGCATGCTCAAGGCGCTGTTATTTTTTTCCCTCGATCATTGGATGTCAATCTCAACGGCACATCGCATTATCAATCTCAACTCCCTGGGGAGTATACAACTCTTGCAGCCACTAGGCGCACCGAGTTATTGTGACTTTCTCATCCTAACGAGAGGTACCCATTCACAGCTGGGTGGATTGGGTGGACCTTTAGTGTTCCTGCTGCTTCCCAACAAGAACAGGGAAACCTACCAACGTGTCTTCAGCCGGCTTAAAGACGCTGCAGCAGACCACGGGCTACAGTTGTCACCACATACTTTACAGGTACTTACAGATATCATACATAATTAATTATCCAATTACAAAATATAATGTTATAATGTACATATATAAAAATGGTGATCATACGTTATATGCATCTCATTATATACATTTCATTGCAGATGGACTGTGAGTCAGCAGCAAAGACAGCAGGTTTGTCTCTGTTTCCCGATGCCGATGTTCCTTTCATTTTGCCTAGTGTGTGTGGAGGAAAACGTCGGCCTTCAGACAGACTACAAGAACAATGTCACTAAGTCCATACGACGCTGTGCAGGTTTGCCTTTAGTTCCAGTGGCAAATGTAAGTATATTTACTGTTTCATAAAAATGTTAAATAGTCGTATATTATATATTATATTATAGCATACCATAAAAACCAGTTAACATGTTCAAAGTTTTGTGGGGTTTTTTTGCATATCAGGTGGAAGATGTCTGGCTAGATCCTAGCAGACATGTCCCAGGACAACAGATGTCTGCAGGTCGCAGATTACATGACTACGAACTGGGTTGAGGCTGACCTCCGAGAATGGAACCATCATGACACTGAAGGTTTTTACACCCGGTCACAGGTGGGCTTGATCCCGGCACCTCATGCTCACTGGATCACAAGCCTGGCTCCTTAAACAATTCGCCCGCCATGCCAAGATAATTCTCGTAGAAATGTATGCAGTAAACTTAAATCAGTCAGACATTTCTGCAAGAATGCTTATGAAATCATAATTGTTTAACTGGGTCCCTTCTGTTTAGTCAAGTTCGCCCTGCTGGCACTCCATAATTGAACGTCTTTCCTTATACTCACACAAAGAATTTAAGACATGTGGAATTAATATCATGAAGATTCTCAAAACATCAAAGGATTTGCTTTGAACGTATCCCAACTGCGTAGATCGATGTTCATGCAGATAGTAATTAACAGATTGTCTGATTTACAGTCGGTCGTTTTACACGAACAAATATACAATAGACACACCACCAGCCAACACACACACACACACACTCAAGCACGCACGCACGCACGCACGAAATGCACACACACACATCTATATACCGTCACAGGAAACTTTGAATGTTGCATATATTCAATTATATATGATTATCAAGGCATCTAAAGCAGCCAAAACAATTACTGATCACAATATCGTCTTATGTAAGTTAGTTTAATAATTTCATGACAAACATTTTCTAGTTGATAATAAACACTGCTAGATCTAGATGTCATTCGTCGCTAAAGCCCTTCATCCGGAAGAATGTCACCTGCTGTCGAGTTTTTTATAAACTTATGAACTCGGATAGAGCCGCGACGATTTCGAATAAGACGCAATTGAATCTGACAACTGTCAGTCACTATTCAGGCCGTAAAATACATGGTCTGCTTAAAGGAGTCATACGTCATAACATATGTTTTTGTGTGTTTATTCAGAGTGGGATAACAAAAGGCACTTCCGACTTCAAAAAATATCATAGCTGGTCAACCACCAATGAAAACTGGTCTTTT